CGCATTTACAGTTTATCTGGAACTCCGTCGCTGATTATAAAGTTAGGAATAAACACAGTTAACAGTGAAGTCAACCTCTCTGATTTTCACATAATTTTTGTCATATTAGGCATTTTGGTTTCACCAGTTTTGAAAGTCGAGAAAGACTATATTTCCTCACATTGTTCTTCAGTTTTCCAGTGGCCGACTTCTTGCTATATTGAAAGGAGAATGAAATAAATGTCACCAGAACTTTGGCTGGATTTTGATGCGAATTAGTTCCATTAATTAATACATCGCTTTAAATATGTACCTATTTCAATTACTACTCAATTAGAAAGTAAATATGTCTAAGAATTTAGTTACCCGTTATCCAAAACAGCTCTGTTGTCTTAGTCGCCCAGCCGTTTTACAAAATACAACCCGATAAATCTAAGAAAAGCAATGTTATCTTCATGCAAAGCCAGCGCGGAAATAAGAAAGGATGTATTTGGATAAAAATAAAAGCATTCAGATACACTTTTCCTAAAGCATTCCAACACACTATCCGTATACTACCCAGCTCTGCTAGTTTATATCTACAGGATCCGTTCCATAATTAATGAGCTCTATTTTTGCTGACGCGAGTTTACATCAAGTAATCAAACTCAATCGAGCTCATTTGGCTCCTAAACCAAGGACTTGTGCTTTTGTAAACCTCGTTGTCTAGAGGGGTGACATGAGATGGAGAGTTCGATAGAAAATGATTGGGCAAACTTTCTACAAAATCATTTTTAATATGCCTAAAGAGGCGTTTGGGGATTCGTGTTTGCCCGAATGGCACACCACGTCCCAAGAAAGCTCGCATGAACAAATCCAAAAAAAAGACCATATTCACCGTCTTTTTTGGAGTGGAAGGGATCATTTACTATGAGTTTGTGCCACCTACACAGACCGCGAATGCTGCCTACTACTTGGAGGTTCGAACAAAGCTAAAAGACAACTGGAATATTCCCCACGACAACGCAACTTGCCACATTGCTTCCGTCGTGAACGATTACTTGACCCGGATCAACATTGCGGTGGTGCCCCAGCCTGCGTACAGCCCGCATTTATCCCGTGTGGAAATTTCCGTCTTTCCTTGCTTGAAAGCAGTCCTGAAAGGCATGAATACGACTCGATGGAGATCGTGCAAACAAATGTCACAGCAATGCTTACAGACATCCCGAAACAGGTCAACGCTGACGCTTTCAAAACAAGGAAAAGTAGCTTACAAAAGTGCATCGACGCAGAAGGTGCAAATTTTGAGGAATATTGGTCAGTTGTACCAATTTACTCAATAAATTTTTCGTTTTTGCAAAAGGCTCAGTACTTGTGGTACGCACCTTATATAATACCACTGCACTACAGCTAGGTATAGCTACCGTAAATTTATCCATTTATAGTAAGTACTTGACTGTTAAATTCGTAAAATATTGACATTTCTAGAAGTTATTCTAAACTACTTGCATCAATTTTGCTTTTTGCTCGTAATTACCTTTACTGTATTTAATATTTTCTTTAGCATAACGCCTGTTTATAATAGCGAATGCTAGAAGTCATTTATATGGTAATAAGTTTGTTTTAGGAACGGAAAACAGCGATAACCGATAACCATTTGCATATATGCATGTAATAATTTACTTCTAAATAGACACTAACTTCTTTATTTCATATTATATACGTACAAAAATGCGGTATTGCCAAAATTACAAACAAAACACTAAAGATATCAGTATTTGCGGCAATAATCGTATATTTTTAATCATTTTAGGTATATACCAACAACATCCTGTTTTCTCACTGACTTCCAATTTACATAAAATTGTAAGATATGGTTATTTGTTATAATAGCATTGTTTTGTAATATACTTAACCAATATATCATGTAATTCCTTACGCCTATTTATAAAAAAAAATAATACGAGCATTTAATTGGCAACTGGATTATTTGAAGAGCCTTTAATGAACATTTAATTACTAAAGTTTATACTTTTTAACAGTAATTTTGAATGAAACACTGTTAGGTACATACCTAATTAGTTTTTAATGATCCTTAAATCAGTGCATGACCAAGAGAGCTTTTGCTTGTTTAAACCTGTTTCTTGATCCTTCCGTGCCTATTTTCTGTTCAAATCGTGAATTCATTTAAGTACACGAATAATAATTTGAGTGTTTAATTCGCAACTGGACTGTTTAAAGAGCCTTTCATGTATCTGTTTTTGATTCTGCTGATGTTGCTCTTTCCACTCGTTTGAACAATCTTTATCAGTATGTCAGCAAAGTATGGTTTTATTTACGAATAATACCTACGTTTAATGAGCAAAATGGTTATCGAACTATCAACAGTTAATACACTCCCTTTATTTATTTATTCTCCTTTTTACCAACAAAACAGGCATTTTCAAATCATTAATATATTCGAAATTTACAATAATTCCTGTAAAAAGCACAAAATATATTGTAGGAAATTCATACCGGTATGGATACCTTAAAGGGAAGGATATTTGTATTAATATTTTGCATGAATCACTCCGGACTAGAAAAGTTAAATATTGTGATTATATATTTTTTTTTTCGAATGTTTAATAGAAATCATTAAGACATATAGAAAAAATTTCATATTAAATTAAAAATTTGTTTTGTAAATGTATTTTCGAACGCCAGTAACCTCATTATATTGGTTTAGTAACGCCACCACACGGAGAGCCATTAAAACATCCATGTTTATGTTGTAAAAATTAAATAAAAATAGTAGATTAATAATAATTATACTTTGAAATTTATTGATTAATGTTAATAAAATTATTGGCTAAGAGTTAAATTTATTGGTGATAATGAATAATTAAATAATATTTGGAAAGTGTGGACAAATGGCTCTCGATAATATTTAAGTAAATACTTCACCGAACCCAGAAAGTTACAAATATTGCTTTGCACCTTTGTGTCGTAGCACAACTCATTCTAATCCGGAAGAACTTTTGATTTCTGTTCTCAAAAATGATGATGTAAGAAAACAATGGTGTATTACAGTTAATTGTCATGATAGATGTTTTCAAATAATTTCTTATTGTTGCGCAGACCATTTTAATCTAAGTGCATACATACATCGCATATCGATCGTCGATCCATTAAACAATAAAAGTTCGTTTAGTCATGAGTTACAGCTACTGTGCTATGTAAGGTTCTGTTGTAAAAATGGAGTTGTTGTTGCTGGAGATTATGATAGCAAACTAGGAAAGTGACGATATTCATAAGCACCCACATGCACTAGGAGACATTGTGTGGATATACAACCTACGTCATTAATGTGGCCTATCACTAAAGCTGCAACAGCACTGGGATGGTCTATACCAAATTGTCAAATGAGTAAAAGATATCAAGTCCCGGATTATACAAGCATCGAATGTTAAATCTAAGGTAGTCAATTTTAACCGATTGGTTCTGTAAACTAATGGCAATCACGAAGATGCTCGGATCAAAATTATACGAGACATGGAGTCACTTCTGGAAGTCCGCAAGACTTATTTACTGTAACAAGGGAATACTCGCCGGCTTATGGTGTGACGAAAAACATTAATATATCTTTAAGAAGAAATTCGCCAGGCTATCGGTGCTAAAAGATCGGTTCGGACCTTGTCATCGAAGAAGAGCTATCAACCGCTCATGTGAAGTTCCTTGGTGGAATTAATCGACCAACTGCTGAGTACTAATGCCATTTATTGACAGAATATGATTCAGGACGGAAGAGTGTACTTGATGTAGGATCGACTATCGCGGCGGTACCTACTATAGCTCAAATAATAAGTCAGGTCCGGACATTAAACATGCAAGAATGCAATACAATATAATTTCGAGAACGTTTTCAGAAACAACGGGGTCTAAGGAAGCATTAGGAAGTAAACAGGAAAGTTCGATCACTGTATAAATAGACGACACACGATAGGTAATCGACAAAATTTTATCCTATTTTCCGCAGGTATTCATAAAATAACTATTTCCTATTCGGATGAAAACACATCGATCCAAAACGCCCACTGAACCTACAAAATTGTTTTTCGCAGTTACATATTATTTAAAAGACATTAGAAAGAATAGGAGAACAGAGGACTCTATGAAAGTCTTAAGAAATAGGCGACATAGGTTAGTAGGACACCTTCTCAGGAATGAAGGTCTAGTCAGAGACATATTAGAAGCAGAAATGGGAGTTAGTAGAGGCAGAGGTAGATCTAGATAAGATTACTGTTCGCGAATAGTTAAGGATGTGGGTTGTTCCAGTTTTATGGAAATGCGAAGATTAGCTGAGGATAGGAAAAAGTGGAGGTGAATGTCCAACCAGTCTTAGGATTGACGACCTTATGATAATGATGATAATTGGCATGGTCCAGTTCGCGTGTCCTCAAAGAAAATAAAACTTGTTGATGATGCTTATTATAATTATTTAGTAGAAGCTACAAGAACTGGCTCCTTTGACGAGGTACATTTTGGCTATAGGTCAGTGTTATAGGATAATTGATATTGGTAGAGCGAAGATGTCCGATATAAATTTTCAGCGTAAGCAATATAAGCACCGACTGGTATAAATAAGTGATTGTAATATATGTTGAGTCGTAATATTCATTTTGTTATTTGTAAATTTTTCAGCATCTATCTTTATATTTCTAGTGGAATGGTTATTTTATTATTATTACAATATTTTCAATTGTATACATTTTACAGCAGTTACTTGAGAATTGTAGTTTGCCGACCTTGGAAGTTCAACAAATTTTATTGACCATTGTGTCGAGTGACAATTCTAATATTCAGTTTCTTCTATTCAAACACGAACACCCCAATAAAGTTCAATTGGGTTTTCTCTTGGGTCTGTTTCCCAGAAGTCAAGGCAAACGGCAGACTTCCGAAGACGCGTTGCACGTGTGTCGGTACCAAGTACCGGTTAATGCCCTTCTGGTACTCCCTCTATTTTTCTACCCCTCTGTATCTCTGTCTTCATTTCATAACAAATCACGTTCTTCTACTTTTTCTCCAACCAATCAACCTTTTCCAATTTGAATTTAATTCCACCCCTAAACTATTTCCTCCTCTTTTCCATTTTTTCTAATTTCAGAACTTCAGTCATTTTCAGACAGTTGCAATTTGGCCTTCACTTCAATCATTCGCTCTATCGGTTCGTTTTCTATTTTCATTAATTTCGAGTTTTATACAGTCCACTCTACATAGTTTTTTTTGTTATCCATTGGTTTTTGTTAAAGTGTTGTTAATCCTTAGTTAAGTGTTGTTAATAAATAGTTAAATCCAAGTGGTTTTATATCAACAAATTACATTTGCGTAATACCTAAAACTGGCCTCTACAGCTACATAAAAGTCGTCAAACTACGGCGACAACAATATAAATAAATGCATATAGTTTATAAAAAGAGCATTTAAATAAATTAATTAAAACTAAAAAATTCATTACAATATTATTTAACTCACCAGCCAAACATAGGGGGGCATGTAATGAGGACTGAGCTGCACCAAACTACCAAAATCATGCCGAAAGCAAGCCGTTTCGATCTTCTTCTTCTTGAATAAGTTAATGGTTGGGTCACTGCTAAATATCTGTCCACACTTATTGCACATAAACTTAAAATAGATGCCGTGCATAACAGTATATCCAACGATACCCATATGTCGCATAATAGCCAACCGAACACCCACGATCCTGAAATGAAAAATTTTTGATTTAATTTGGAATTGCGGCAGTGTCCTATTTTCGAAGAATATTTTTAGTAATAAATTACAAAGGAATATGAATCACCAGAACGCTTCATTGAAAGTTCAATTCAATTAAAAGCTTGACAATATTAATTTCAGTAATATAAGCAACAGCGACAAATTGAAAATGGCGCAAAAGGCTGTGTTGGATACACGGCCGGAATTGATAGTACGTGACAACATGTACCTTTTCATTTTAGCATGGATGTTCCTTCACCCTTTTCCTTATTTTAATGAGACTTTAATTTTTTATTTGACATAAGAGCGAGAAAGAAACAAACTCACTGAAATGGAGAAAAGGGTGCTCATTACCATGCCTCATTTAGAATANCGTAATGGTACCATAAGTAGCGATGGTTGTTCCATTCGCAGCAGACAACTCGTACGAGGATTTTTCTCGAGGACCACGTACTTGGGAACGAGGAAATACACAAAGATCTGCGCCCGTGTCCACCAAAAATTGCATGTTCGTGCCTGAGTCGGTGATAAAAATGCGGCGTGAAATGTTAAATTGGCTGTCGTTTGCCGCCATTAACGACTGCCGCTGGCGTTTCCCTGGTTACATGCATTTGTTATAAATGAACATGGCTGTGTACATTTATTTGCGCGGGAACTATATCTGCGATGATACCAGCAGAGTCCATCGGGATGGTGGCGGTTCCGGGATCTCGATCGTGGACGGGAGCGTGACCTTTCTCGGAAACGGGTCTGACTTTTTAATTCTGACACTTCTTGACGCAGGGATGAAATTTGTTGTTGGAGTGTGACCGTTAATTGTTGCAGTTGAGCGGCTAGGACATCACCAGCCGAAGGGGTTGCTTCCGCGATGCGTGGGCGATGGTCGGTTAGATCAGCAATGGAGTCCGCTAATTCGGCTATTTTGACAAGAGACAAGTCTCGATGTGCCGCTAGGATAGCTTGCATATTGGGCGGAAGACGGGCAAACCACAATGTCCGCAGCATGGTGTCGGGAACGGTCGGACCAGCGAGAGTTTGCAAGTGGCGCAGAAATTGGGAAGGCTTCCTGCCGCCCATTTCTTCCAATTCTAGCAGGCGCCGCGTCTTTTGCTCTTGGGACGTGCTGAGGCGTTTTATGAGTTCAGATTTTAACACACCGTACGCGTTGGTCGTGGGTTTGTTCACTATTATATCGCGCACTTCTAACGCATACCGCGGTTCTAACACTCCGGTAATGTACCCAAATTTGGTCGCATCCTTTGTCACACCGGCTGTTGTAAAGTTCTCTTCGACCATCGAAAACCATAGTTCTGGATCGTTCGGGATAAATGGCGGAATACGCACTGCGACGTGACTAATTGCGAAGCCATTTTCCAGCACGTTTAATTGTTCTTCTGAATTAGCCATTTCGCTTATATTACGGTCACTAAAATCTAGTCTATTTACACTTAAATCTACCGCACAAGATGTTACACTAAAATGTTACTCAAAAAAGTACTTACAATTGTCTGTCACCTCTCACTATTATTAACAGTTAGGACTTAACACAACACTGACGCACAAAAAAAACTACGGGGTCACCACTTTAGTCTCGTTGTGTGTCCTGATGTTGAGGTGGTTAAATAATAGAACGCAGAATACGATAACAACTTTAATAAACAAGAACAAAAAAATGAAGACTAGAATTAAGAATGTAGAATGGTGAAGTTGAAATTAGGAAGGATAAGTCAGAACTGATTTTAGTTTTTGAAAAAGAGATCGTAAGAAGGGTGATAAGGAGGAGTTAGAAATAAGTTAATTAAAGTAGGGAACCAATAAGATGGTAGTAAAACCTGGAAATTTAGTTTAGAAGAAATACCTAGAAATTAAGTTTGACCCCAAATCACCGAAGAAACTGACCATAAAACTGCAATTAGGAAAAGTAAGAATTATAGACGTCATGCAGTTAGTATACAGAGTTGAATTGTTAAAAGGGATGATAGCAAAGTACGTAGGCAATTAAATAGTCGTTTAGCTGAAGAATAGGTATAGAGTAGGTATAGAATAGAGTAAGTATAAAAATAGAATTATAAGAAAAGAATATTTACACAATAATAATACAATAATACAGAAATTCCAAACACACAAATACATGCATCACAGACATACCAAAAAATATATACAACCACACACTCAATACCTTACTCTAAAAAATTAATTACTTTCTTAAAAACTATCAAATCGCCACACAGTAATAAAAATTAATTAGTAATTTAAATTTCTAATTAACTTTTTTAATGAAATGCGAGAATGCTAGTCATCATTTAAGGTCTCCTCTCATTTCAATAAGTCAACAGGTATTGTGGATATATTGTTAAAAATAATCATACGGATTTCGGTTGAATTCAGACAAGGCAAAAGCGAATAAATAATAAATAAAATAGGTGAAGATTCCAGTTGTTTCATAAATCAACATTTCACCATTTGGAGAAATGGCTTTATCAACGTCAGTAGGTCATTTTTGCAGATAGTCTATTTTTTGTAATCGTTTAGTACCATTTCACCGATCGGTATGGCCTTTTTGGCTTTTTTCCAAGTTTTTCTGTGGTTTTCTTGGATCACTTAGGCAAATGTTGGAGCAGGAATATTCCACAGATAATCTTTCATTCTCTTGTGTCTTCATTTCTTCCGTCTCATCACTCTCACTCGAACCACTACCCGTCCATACCCACAATTTCTGAAAAGAGGCTGAAGAGGGTCTTCTGCTCTACCTTCCCGTGTAGTCCGTAGGGTCTGCCCACCCACCAGCATTAGTGGCTGGTGGGAATGAAACACCCAAAAGTTTTTTTTTAAGTACCACTTCAAATACGCCAAAATGAGTAACTTTTAATTAAAAATTTCGGTTAAACCATTACATTCCAGAAATCGAAAGTAAGCCATTTGGCTAATTCTTATGATATTGCACGCATCAATTGCTGTTTATCCGCAGTGTTTAACCGAAAAGTGACGATTAACCGATTGATGGGGAAACAAACCAGTCTAATGCGCTGGAACATTTCTATATAGGGTGAGTCAATGAAGTATCTTAATTGGATCTCATAATTTTGGAATAAATGTTAGACAAAAGTTGTATTCTCGTGAAGGGGAAATTACCTACTGATATTAATATTAATGCTCGGGGTCATTTGCAGGTCTCAAGTAATTTTTTTTAATTGAAATGCATCTTTTAGATCCCAGCAATGGAAATTGCGGTAAATTTTTAAATCGAAAATACCCCTAAAATTTCAAATCTCCATCTCTCGCTTTAGTGGTCACATAAACATAATTCGATTGTATTATCTTGTATCGTTGGTAATGGTCTTACTTATTTTGTACTTTAATTTCCGTACTTACCCATAAGATGGTATGCCACTGCTAGGGGCATTACAAATACCGCAACAAGCCAATCTGCTACTGAAAGCGACAGAACAAAGCAGTTTGTAACAGTCCGAAGTCTTCTGGTGGTCAAGACAGCGAGGATTACAAGTGTATTTCCTATTACTGTTACAATAATGACAATACTCAGTAATGCAACCAAAGCCAGTTCTTGTATCTGCTTGCTTGCGGACGGGGTAACGACAGATGAATTTGTAAACGATGTTGACTGGTTTATGTTGTTGATAATCTCTGACATTACTGGTCATTTCTGCAAATATAAAAGAAAACAAATATTATATGACACACATAAACCCCAATGGAAGTCTAACGACTCAGTGCGAAATATTGTATTCCTTAACGAAGTGTTTTGAAAAGGTCATTAAAAGAATGTTATGGGCAGTAAATTTTGTCCTTCGTTCTGCTAATAGTCCAACCTACACCGCTGTCTTTTCTTCGCTTTCGCAACAGTAATATTTTTAACTTTCTCATTTCCGAGCTTGACATGATTTACAGGATCTTAAATGCTCATTACTCTACACGCTTTTATAATCCTATTTTATAAAGGGCTGAACTATACGATTCTTGGTTTGCTCGTTCATTGCTGTATACTATATTTGCTTCTCTAGATAAAAAATAATGGACATTTTATTTTATGGATACTAATACTCTATCATGGATGTAGATAAGAATAACTAAATTGTCATGACTATTAATTAAATAACACTTAAAACCCCAAAATTCCACTAAACGTTTGAAAAACTAAAACACATTAGAGCCTCTAACTGAGGAAGACACCTTGTGTGTCGAAACGGGTTTTACTTTACTAAACGTCTTGTGGGATTTAGCGATTTTTAGTTATTGGTTACGTTTCACAGCATTCAATTATGGTTTGTGTATGGCTATTAGTGTATATAGATATGTATACTATTCATCATCATAAGGTCGTCAGTCGCAAGAATGGTTGGACACGCACCTCCACTCTTTTCTATCCTGAGCTAATCTTCGCATTTCCCTAAAACCAGAACATCCCACATCCTTAACTATTTGTGAACAGTTATCTAATTTAGATCTACCTCTACTCCTCTTAATTCCTATTTCTGCTTCTAATATGTCTCTGATTAGGTCTTCATGCCTGAGAAGGTGTCCTACCAACCTATCTCGCCTATTTCTTATTGACTTCCATAAAGTCCCCTTTTCGCCTAGTCTTTCTAATAACTGTCCATTTCTAAACTTCTCTCTCTATCCACGGTATCTTCATCATTGAGCTGTAACACCACATTTCGAACGCTTCTGACCATTTTCTTTCCTCCGCGGCCACCGTCAATGTTTCGCACCCGTACAGCACTGCTCTCCAAGCATGAACCTTTAACAATTTTTTCCGAAATTCTAAATTAACTGTTTGCGAGCATGGAAGTGACTTCTTTTTATGGAAGGCGACTCGACCTTGCGCTATCTTTTGCTTTGTATCCCTACTGCTCCTTTCGTCCTGACTTATCTGACTTCGTAGATAAGATAAGAGTAACATGGAATAATAAAAATCTGAAACACTAAACGAAAAATAAATCCACATGGAGATTGCGATGTCTAGAAGAAGGTGGTCCAAAATCGGTGAAGTCACGAAAGTTTCGCGTTTTGGAAGTTGAACTCATACAAAAAAAAATGTACGGCTGAACTGTATTGCTAAATACATATGAACTTGCACGGTTTTTCAAAAATTGATAATTGCGGTTGAAGTGTAAGTATATCATAGGCTGAAATTTTCACACATTGTAGTAAAAGCAGTCCTACCAAATTTCAGTTGTAAATACCTGTTTAATTCCACAAAACAGTGCTCTTTGCAAAAGCAAACACGGTTGTAATCCAAGAATTACAATAATTACCTTCTAACGTGTCCTTTTTTGTTTTACCAAAAGTATATTGGAAACATGCAAAAAATGCAATCGAAAACCGTTAAGGTGAACTTTGAGCTGATTAGCGGCAAGGAGTAGTGGTTGTCAACTTCTCCTTCGTTCTCGCTTGTCTTCTATTACTTCCAGTAAAATTTTGGCAAGACAGAAAAGAATACATTGTAAGGTAATTCCTACCTAGTAACTACAACCCTGTTAATCAACCATCAGTCCGACCATCATAAGGCTTGTATTTTTTTGTAGAAAGGAGCGTTTTGCTACCAGTATTAGCAATTAAAATAATTTGGAGGGTTATACTACAATGTACGCAAGTTTCAATACTTTATATATAGTCTTTTTTTATAAACTAGCAAATTCACTGACTCACGCAATCAACTTTTTTCTCTTTTTTGTCAATATATCTAGACTTTTTTAGTTCCAATGAGAACAAATAACTAGCTGTTTCCCGTTCTTTTAAAAAGCAAATATGCAGGATGGCTCATTGTAGCTAAACTGCATCGATTAACCCAAATATTTTTCAAACTTGCTATTCTCCAGTCAAATCACTTAAACGGAATAAAAAAACATTTGAGAGAAGAGTTCGATGTAGCATTAAAAAGTTTAAAGAATAATAAGGCGCCAGGTGTAGATGGGATACAGGGGGAAATTCTAAAACATGCAGGACAAGAGGTTAGAGATNTGAAACATATTTTTTATATCTTAGTCATAATTGTACATTTCTTTATTTGTAGGTATATATGTTTATTTGTATATTTATTTCTTTGCTTATTTGTAGGTATATTGTGCATTTGCACATTTGTTTCTTTGTTTATTAGTATCAATTGTATCAGTTTAACATTATTATTTGTAATTTCAAGAATTTGCCTTCAGCAACATTTCCAAATTATGTTCAATTCCTGCTCTATTGTTGTGCAGGTACCTAAGAAACGTGCATTATGCATTGTCTGTTCCGAAATCATTACCATTCGGTATTTCCAGGGTTAATAAGGTTCACCACCCTAACAATAGCTGTACAGCTTGCACCAGTTTTCGACTGGCTCATTTCGTAGTAGGGATGACAATTTATATATTAAGGATTTTAGTAAATCGACAGAACATTATCATTGAGAGAACATTATAATCAATAGATCATTAATCAACATACTTTACCATCGTAACATATATTTAGGCAAGTTCTCTATAACCCTTTAGTGTGCACATGTAGCAAGTTAAATATAGTTATTTTTATTTTTTGTGTGTGCTTCTTTTACCATCGAGTGCACTGGTCCTTCGAGAAGTTTTTCTATGTGGTAGAGCAGTACACCGACGATTGTAGTATTTTTTTACATCGTCATATCACGCAACATCAGTGTAGAACAGTTATTACTGTGAGAGACGTTATCACTTCTCTCAAAGCCAGTGGCTGATTTGTTATTGTTGTGGTATCGGCAATTGCCAATATAAGGAGTCATTTAGGAGGAAAGAGAGGAGGATGGAAACCGGGAAAGATACTTAGTGGAGCTACTGAATTGCACAGGCGTTTTAATATTTTTATTTCTTGACTTCGTTGAATGTAACCCTTAAGTAGGATATCTAGAGAAATAACACCCAACGTTGGCTCCTTTCATGCGACGATCTAACAAATTGTAAGAGAAGAGTTGCTGCATCTTTATCATTTGCAGCGAGTATAAGCTTTGCAGCAAACTGATTTTGAATCGCGAGTGAATTTAGTTAGCGGTTGGTATGGGGTTGTATAAAACACCGGTACACAATGCTACTGATGTGCAGGTTCGCGTGATGATCGCTGTAAATGAAATTTCCTAAACGCCTGACGTTTTTGGGCGAATGAGAAATAATTTTGGGAGACGTCTTAAAGCCTGTTTTCTGCCACGCGCGTCTAATCTGAGAAAAACTATTGTCGGTTACTTTTGTGTGTGTTTATCCAAAAGCAATAACTCGTCGATGGATAAGTAGGCGATCTGTTGTCGTTTGTTGTTTTTGTTTACTTTAGGCGTTGAATAGGCAGTATTGTTTAGTTTACATTCTATCCATGTACGAGGTCTGTTCAAAAAGTATCGCGAATTTTGAATTTCCGCGAGCTACGTATATCCAATTTTCGATTTTTTGGTGAAGTTATATTGCTACTCATGTCTCTCACTTATACCGACAAATTCGGTCATCTTGAATGTTCAATTAATTTTTGACACCTGCTTTCCTTGCACGTGTTTTGGGTCGTCTTCGATTTTTGCCTACTCCAAAAAGTAGATCAAACAATCTGTATCAAATTTTGTGTGAAAAACAAAACGAAATGCGTGGACACATTCCGAATGTCGACTGTGGTATATGATGAAGCTACCTTGGACCGAAGTAACGTTTATCGGTGGTACAAAATGTTCTCAGAGGGACGAGAAGATTTGAAGAGCGTGCCAAACACTCGATCACGTCAACAACAGAGGAAAACATTGATGAAGTGAAGAAAATAGTATTGATCAATTGTCAAATCATCGTTATAAAAGCTGCTGAGGACCTAAGCATATCGATTGGCTCTTGCCATTCGATTCTTACCAATGATCTAGGAATGAGACGGGTCGTTGCGAAATTCGTAGCAAAATTGCTCAATTTCGACCAAAAACAGCAGTGCACTAACATTGCTAAGGGGCTATTCGCGACGACCAAATTTGCTCCAGAGGGTCATAACTAGTGACGAATCATGGGTTTATGGTTATGACGTGGAAGTCAACGCTCAATCAAGTTAGGTCGAATATGAAGGTTTTGATTACAGTTTTCTTCGATTGCAGGGGGGTCTTGCATCATGAGTTCTTGCCACAGATTAGAACAGTCAATAAGGAATATTACCTGCAAATCATGCGCAGTCTGCGTGAAGAAATCCGCCAGAAACGCCCGGATTTGTGGAAGAATAGTAATTGGCTTTTGCATCATGGTAACGACCCTGCTCACACATCGTAGCTTGTGCGCGAATTTTTGGCCAAAAATTACATACTAATAATGCTGCAACCACCGTATTTTCCCGATCTGACCACCTGTGACTTTTTCTTGTTTCCGAAAAAAGAAGAGGCCCATGAAAGGACGACGCTACGCTACGATTGAGGAGATAAAAACAGCATCGAAGGAGGAACTGGACAAGATCACAAAAATTAATTTTTTGAAGTGCTTTGAAGATTGGAATAAGTGCATAATATCAGGTGGGGATTGCTTTGAATGGGACAAAATAGATATTCATTAATAAATATATAATCTTTGAAAAAAGAAACGAAATTCGCAATACTTTTTGAATAGACCTAGTATAGCTGTTTGACCCTTATCGCAATTTGAACTCAAAAATTTAGTTGTACTACACCCACATTACGAATTCTAAGTTGTAGTGCTTTTCCTTAAATTTTATTTTGCCCCTGATCAGGCTGCTGTACTTGGCACTCTCTAAAGCTCCGCAGTTATTTCTGATACACCTTGTATACACAAACGTAGCAATATCCACTATCACTAAGCAACCCGACGAGTCGGATGATGCAGACCCTCCTGACGGTCGTGACAAGATGTTTCATGCACGATAAGGATCGGACTCAATACTCCGTCGGTTTCATTGTTGTTAGTGGGGTTATGGGATGGTAGATAGTGTTCTTCAAATGAGTTCAGCCAAGCTGCAGGGTTTGATGTTATTAATATTTACATGAATTCATTCGACAAGATTATTTTAATCGACAGATACCCAGAAAAGTTTGGGTCGCTACTGGGAACAAAAGGGTACTGATTTAAAATTATAACTTCATAATGTCATAGTATTTATTCTGCCAAGCTTTTCTTTTTCGTGCCCTGAGGTGGAACTTTTCTGTCCAAAATTGGGCTACGTCTAATGCTTCTTCCTTGTTAACCACAACCCTCAACTATTTACTCCTCCCACACTATTGTTCATCTAATGTACTTGGTCGGCCGTGTTACACAGAATCAATGTATGGCTACAATTTATTGCATCCTACCAGGAAATTTTTCAGGAGAAAAGTAAATCTGAGCCGTCAATCGACCTTATTAGATTTTATGAAATCTTCTATACCAAAACAACCA